GGTCCGTGGGCTGACACTGTAACTGCTGAGCCAAACCGGCCAGGGCTGATTGTTTGATTTTTAATAGGGACTTTGGAAACACATGTGGGAAATATTTTTAACTAATTTCTTCACTTATTTTAAAATGCACATGTTTATTGAACACATGCTCTACTCCAGGCACTTGGGTTAGGCACTAGTGAGTCAAAAACCACAATCCCAAACCACAGAAAACCACCATAATGTATATACCTACTACCTTTGGGGGAAGGGTAATTGGTGCAAATAAGTGAGCAGTTTAAATTCTAACAAATAACCATCTCTAAAAGTAAGTGGGAAATGATTTGCTACTTGGGAAAATTTTCCTTTGTACATACTCAAATTTTAAACACTTATGGTAGCTATGAATACATAGAAAGTGATTATTTGTCATTTCTCCCCAGGTGAGTTTGTCTTCAGTGACAATATGGCCTGCAATTTTTTTACCATTCCATTTTCACCGTAAATTCTCCTGCTGAGTTTAATGTATTCAATCAATTCTCACTAAAGTGTTTATTATAATATCTCCAATTAGCTTTTCCCTATCACCTCATAATAGATTATGCAATTGGAGTATATATTGTTTATTGCTTATTTCTGCCAGCTAAAATGTAAGCTCTGTGAGGGCAGGGAAACTAATTTTGTTCACTGGTATATTAAAAATGCTTAGAAAAGTGCCTGGGCCCGGCCAGTGTGGCTCAGTGGTTGAGCTTCGAACCATGCACCAAGAGGTCCCCAGTTTGATTTCCTGCCAGGGCACATGTCCAGGTTGTGGGCCTGATCCCTAGTGCGGGGCATGCAGGAGGAGGCCAATCTATGTTCTCTCTCATCCATGTTTCTGTCTCTCTCTCCCTCTCCCTTTCTCTCTCTCTCAAATCAATAAAGAAGAAAAAGTTTTTAAAAAGTCCTAAGACTTCAGTTTAAAAGAAGAAAAATGCCGGGGCACAATAGGTGCTCAAATATTTTCGGCAAAACTTTTTTCCTTGGGATGAGTGGAGGGCATTGGTGGGAAAGAATAAAGAGGGACCCAAAACTCCCAAAGATTTTTAAAGAGACATATAAATAAGGAATCCTAAATATTTTTAAAATAATTTTCTTAAATCCTCACCTGTGGATATTTTTCTATTTATCTTCAGATAGAGCAGAAGAGAGAGAGGGAGGAGGAGAGAAAGAGAGAAACATCGATGTGAGAGAGACACATCAATTGACCGCCTCCCGTAGGACCCAACCAGGGCCAGGATGAACTGCAACCGAGGTACATGCCCTTGGCCGGAGTCAAACTTGGGACTCTTTGGTCTGCGGGGCCGATGCTCTAACCGCTGAGCCAAACTAGTCAGGGCTGGAATCCTAAATATTTTGAATAATTCATTAGAATTCGGCATGAAATTTTTTCATGGAAATGATTATTTCCTTTCACGTCCTACTGTTTAATTTATATTTCAACTTCCCTCCAGGGAGCACTTTGGACCAATCGGTTCAGGAAGTGAAGCTTAAAAGATAAAGGAGTTTATTTTATTAAAATGAAAGATAGGAAAGAAAGGGTGCATTGACTCATATTTAGGGGAATTCTAGGGAAGAGGCCATTCCTCTATTTTTTTAGAGGGACTTTGCATTCTGTTTGTACCTCATTCACTTAATGGTTGTTATGGATCGGTGCTTCCAAGAAACAGATTTTTACAGAAATTATGTCATTTGATTTATCCCAACTGGAAGAAACAGAATAGGCACAGTGAGAGCGGGAATTTGTAGTTTATTATTATATATTTAATTAAAATCAATTTACATTTTATTAGAATGCCCTAAATCAGAGACTTCAAAATTCCAATCTGTAAACAATGCTTTTTCATAATAAAATCTTAGTTTCATTTCCAGGCATTTATTCTATTTTTACACAGAAATATCATTTGTTAGCTACAAAATATTCATCGCAACATGAAAATAAAAGCAATAATAAAATAAATAAAAATGAAACCAATCAAAACATTTAGTAAAACTTTAATGTCTATAGAATGCAATTTTATGTAGTCAAAGTATAGACATATATTTACTAACACGAAAACATGTCCAACAAAGAGTGAGTCAAAAAAGGGGGCTTGAAAGCAGTATAATCTGGTGTGTGTTATTCAAATATTGAATACACGTGTTATTTATACAAGTATATTCAAGCATGAAAACTTGACTATAATATCAAGAGTGGTTATCTCAGGATAGTGGAGGATTTTTTAAAGTTTTTTCTTATACAAACAAACCCTGATTTACCAAGGTCTGACTTAAGATGTTTTTACTTTGCAATGGTAGGAAGGTGATGCACATTCAGTAGCAACCATATTTCAGATTTTGAGTTTAGATCTTTTCCTGAGCTAGTGATGTCCAGTCCAGTGCTCTCTCATGACGCTGGGCAGGGGCAGCCAGCCCCACAATGGTGAGCGTAGACAACTGTATGCCAGCGTTGTTCAGATACTGTAGCCATAGATCACATGAGATATTCAACACTTTATTGTAAAATGGGCTTTGTGTTAGATGATTTTGTCCAACTGTTGGCTAGTGTAAGTGTTCCGAGCACATTTAAGGTAGACTAGTTTAGGTGTATTAAATGCATTTTCAACTTACAATATTTTGACTTACATTTTCAACTTATGAAAAGTTTATTGGGACATTTATTGGGACATAACCCCATCATAAGTCAAGGAGCATCTGTATCTTATATTTTTATACAAATAGAAATTAGAATGTATAAGATATGCAGTAGCATTTGTCAAAAAGATAGTCAGTGTTTGCAGTTTATATTGTCATAATTTGGGCTATTTCACTGACTATTACAAAGATGAGGTGTTGAAGGTGTGTTTCTTTCATTTAACAGCTGTGTATGGTCAGCAAAAGGGAGAAGAATTTTACATCTTATATGTAGCTCTTTGAATTGTTGAATACGTAGACCTACAAGTACTACAGTCATTAGTAATACAAATAACTTTTCACACTTTTGCACACTTTACCTCTTTACAGTTGTGGAAGGTGGGATATATTATTGCTCCCATTTTAGAAGAGAAAGGTTTTAATGCTCAGGTGCTTTATTTGATTTGTTCAAGTTCCTTTGGAGAGTGGGCTCTGACATTGAAATTCCCATGTTTACCAAATCATGCTCTTTTTTTCTTTTTCCACATACACCGCTGTGCTTAACTGTGGACAAATAATAGTATGCTCTGAAGGACACAGGGTTTTTAAAGACTATCTCCATCCCACCTGGACCTAAGACATGTCACTGGAACTGTCCCCTCGGGCAGACTTCTGGTATCATAGCCACGGCAGCAGCTGTGATAGCTTCCGAGGGAGAGCAAATGGTTGTGACTCCATGTGGCCGGCCCTGGCAGCATTTAAGGAGCTATTTTGAGCTACTGTGTTGAACATTTACCTAATAATAGTGGCTCGTTTCTCTTGTGCTCTCTTGGCAGCATACAAGGATTTAGAAGAATTGGATTGAGAGTCAGAGATTGATATCCAAGCTCCACGTATTTTTGTGAATTTAACATTGGAAAAGATATCTGGGAGCTTGTCATTTCTCTTCTACAGCTGCCAATATTTTGGACAATGGATGTTCCTTCACCATTTGGACAGTTGTTTGAGAAAAATAATTCAGCTTTTAACAAAATACATGCATGCCTACAATCATGACAACTGTTACAAATTACTATAATGCCCTTTCATTAATACTGTGTATATTTTGAGCTGGCTGTATTTAATAAGCTAAGGATATGTTAGAAGATGTTATCAGTCCACTTGGCACTCAAACTGTAATATGTTTAACACACAGCTCTTGATCTTACTCCCCTGTCCACCTCCAAGCATTTTTCCCAGTTCAGCTACTGCTGACAAATCTATCCAGCTGCTCGGGCCAAACCCAAGTGTCATCTTGTGTTCTTTCCATCCGTCGCACCCCGCATCCAGTCCATCAGCAGATCATGTTGAATTTGCCTTCAGGATGCATCCGAACATGGACCACTTCTCACTCCTTCTGCTGCTTCCACTCTGAGCTGAGTCACCAGCATTTCTCGCCAGAGTGCTGGCAGTAGTCTTCTCACTGGTCTCCTCGCTCTGTCCTGTCCTTTCGGTCCATTCTTCATGCAGTAGCAGGATCCATCCCTTTAACCAGGTCAGTGAGTCTCAGTGCTCATATCAAGTGCCAGTATGCTCCATCTCTTTCAGGTAAATGCCAGAGTCATCCCAATGTCCAACCTTGTCACCTCTCTGACCCGGTCCCTTACAGCTGTCCTGCCTGCCTTCTTTCCAGCCACACTGGCCCCTTCTGTTCCACGAACTCCCCAGGCTGCTCCGGTCTAGCCCTTTGCATGTCCTCAGCCATCTGCCCTCTGCCCCAAACACACTTCCCTAGGTGGCTCGTGGCTCACTCCCAGGCTCCTTCAGACTTCATTCAATTTCCTGCTACTCAGGGAAGCTTCCAGCTATTGTACTTGAACTCCCTATCCCAGTGCCCAGCTTTGTTTTTCTCCAAACAACTTACCAGGATATATGTTACTTATTAGTTTTATGCCCCTTCTGTCTCCGCTCCTGGAATACGTGTGTTCCAGGAGGTCGGGTATTTTTGTTTGTTTTACTAAACACTGTATTCCCAGTGCCTAGAACAATGTCTGGCATATATAGGCACTAAGCAAATATTTGCTAACTATTTATTAAACCAAAAGGTACTTCTTGATTATATTTAATGTCAGGTGTTGTATTGGGTGTTAAAGTATTATATAAATGTTAGCGCTGCTAAAATATACTTACCTATACCACTTTAATTTGGGGAGGTGAATGTGAAATCATTTCTTCTTAATCACTAGACTTTTAAGTACAACACATTGATTTAAACACATTTACCAAAAACAAATTCTTTTTCAGATATAAAACCATTGTTTATACAATCATTGTAACCATAGTACTTATTTTATTCCAGCTTTTATTCTGGTCTCGTTTTTGTTTTTCAGAAAAGAGGCACAGTTAGATGAAGAAGGACAGTTTCTTGTTAGAATAATATATGATGATTCTAAAACGTATGATCTGGTTGCTGCTGCAAGCAAAGTCCTCAGTAAGTTGAATATGACTTTCGTTCTTTGGCCAAGTCACACACAGAAGCCCACTGGGATGCGTGGTCCAAGGTCACATTGTATAGTCATAGTCATACAGGCTGTGCACTGCACAACCCTGGTGGGGAGGACATTTACATGTAACATTAAGCTCAGGCTATGCTGAGTCCTATTTTTTCTTTTACAAACTCTTTAGAGAATAGAGGAGCTCTCTGCCCCTCCCCACAGAAAGCCATGTGTTGGGGAAGAAAAAAATTATTTATTTATTTATTTATTTTATTCCTCACTGGTGGATACTTTTTATTTGTCATAAGACAGAGTGGGAGGGAGGGAGGGAGAGAGAGACAGAGAAAAACATCGATGTGATAGAGCTACATCGACTGGCTGCCTACGCATGACCCAACCAGGGCCAGGGACGAACTGCAATGGAGGTACATGCCCTTGACCAAGATCAAACCCGCGACTCACTGGTCCGTGGGCCAAAGCTCTAACTGCTGAGCCAAATCGACCAGGGCAAATTATTGATTCTTCTTTTTTTTATCCTCACCCGAGGACACTTTTCCCAATTTTGTTCAGATAGAGTGGGAGGGGAGGGAGAGAGAGAGAGAAACATCGATGTGAAAGGGACACATCGAGTGGTTGCCACTTGTACAACCCAACCAGGGCTGGGGACAAACTGCAACCGAGGTACATGCCCTTAGTGGGAACCGAACCTGGGTTTCTCTGGATCATGAGCTGATGCTCTAACCTCTGAGCCAAACCAGCCAGGGCAAATTATTGATTCTTAATGTAAAAAATCAATACTGTAATAACATGTTATGATGTCAACAGCACAGTGATTATACAAATGGCATATGCAGACAATATTATTTCCAAATATCTTTTGTAATAACTTTTGTTAGCTATTGGTAAAAGAGAAAGGACACACACAAAAAAGGCAAAGTTAAAAAAAAATAGCTTCATGAAAAGGGTCTATCTCAAAGTAATGTCTCTTATTCTCAGAGTGCTTAATTTATAACCAGGCTACGTTTTGGAGGGAATAGAAAAAAGCTTTTTAGCTTTGCCAAATATAACTAAAAGAGCAAATACTATCTACCACAGAATATAAGAATTACAAAGAAAAATGGTAAATTGTTAATAAGAAGAAAAATATCCAACCCCATTAGTAATCAAAATGGAAACAAATACAAAATTTTTTTCATGTAAATCTGTCAGTTTTTAAAAATTAGATATCTAGTGTAGTCAAGGATAGAGTTTAAAAAAGAAATCATACACTTTAAACAATGTTTAAATCCTTTGTGGTTTTTCCTAAAGAAATTTATTAGATTTATTTGCATTAAGATTTATGTGTGCTTTCATTTCAGAGTTACATATAGTATCAAACACTGGAAAAGCATACATTTGGAAAAAGATTTATTAAATAAATTGTTGCAGCCTATATTGACTGAGATAGTAATTAAAATTGCTATTACAAAAAAATCTTAAAGTTTTAAGAAATAATAATTGGATATAAACAAAAAAGCAGGATATTAGGGTACATACTATATACAGCCAACTCATTAATATGTATATTTAGTTGAAGAAAAATCATTTTGATCAAAATAATATCATGTACATTCTGGATGATTTTCAAGATCTTACTGTATTTTTCAGAAAAAAGAAGGTACACGTTAAATATACATTTTAAAAAGCTAAAAATTACTTAGTTTGTCATGGAAGCTGAGAAACTGATTGCTTTTCTATTGAGAATAAATTTATAGCATTAACGTGGTGATACATTGTCTTCTCAGATTTCATTGCGTTGTCCTGGCCAGAAATTTTTTCACTTGATGTGTATCCACTAGGCACAAAAATTGAGGATGTTTAACATTTTTTAAATTATACACTTATTTTTAATCTTCCCATTAACAGTAGTCTTCCTATAACATGTTGTGTTTTTGTTATTCTCTCAAACCTATGAAATAGATCTCAATGCTGGAGAAATCCTCCAAATGTTTGGGAAGATGTTTTTTGTCTTTTGTCAAGAATCTGGTTATGATACAATATTGCGCGTCCTGGGATCTAATGTCAGAGAATTCCTTCAGGTAAGCAATTTGAGGTCTTGTAGTTAAAAGCTCTGAATTTGTGATCCTTTAGGTTGTAACCTCCTTTTATTTGGCCAGCTGGATGAGAGCACTTTGCTGCTGAAATGGAATCATGGTGACATTTCTTTTCAAGTCACATGAAATAATAGTCATTAGAAGGTCTTGAGCCCGGCTGGTGTGGCTCAGTGGATTCAGTGTCACCCCATAGACGAAGAGGTCCTGATTCGATTCCCAGTCAGGGCACGTGCCTGGGTTTCGGGCTTGATCCCCAGTAGGGGGTGTGCAGGAAGCAGTGGATGGATGTTTTTCTCTCACATCGGTGTTTCTATCTTTCCCTCTCCCTTCCTCTGTCTCTAAAATCAATAAAGAAAAAAATTTTTTTTAAAGAAGATGCTGAATACATTTTAGCGTTTTTGCTTTATATTTTTTTCTTTAACTTTTAGCTGCTGTAAATATGCAAGTTGTAAATTAATGTTCTTTGAAAAACTCATCATGACTTATTTTGTGGTGTATTCAACTGCCTTTTTTCTTTTCTTTTTTTTTTAATGGTTCTATTTGCTACTAGTTGTGGTTTTATGTTTTGGCACTATAACTTGGTCTTACTATTATTATTATTTTTGTAAAGTATCCCTAGGTTGCATAGCGTAATTAAATAGTACATCGGTATCTATGACGTTCTACCCGGATCTTGTTGTTTCGGAAAAAGCACCTGGCTTTCAGGGGCTCTTCCACCAAAGCAAAATTGAGAACCATTACTCCGAGTTACATATTAATTACTCTTGTATAGAAAGAAAAATAAGTGACCTTGCAAAGTCAATTTCAGGTAAAGGCAAAGATAAATAATGTCACCAAAGGTCTTTGTGTTATATTTTTGTTAAAATTACCTTCAAGTGTTTTACTAGTAAAGTATACATTAGACGAAAGACTATTTTTGGATTGTCTGTCCTATTTTAAGCATAGGCCATTTGTGAGAACTTCTTGAAACGTGTTAACATTGAAAATTATGTGGTTGTTTGTAAAGGATAGTTCCAAACCGGCCACCGAGAGCAGCCAGATCTTGCTGGAAAATGATGTCAGTGCAATAGTAGCTGAACTGAAGCCCAGTTTTGAGGGAATGTAAACGACTTCCAATCCAGCTGCATTATTGATTTAACAGCCAAAATAAGAACTTTGGTGTTTAACCAAAATGTCTGTTGTTTACACAGCGACGTTTTTCTTACAAACTTAAAACAACGTTAAATCAAGATGGAAACTGGTTTGCAATCGCCTGCCGCAGATTTACCGAACTACTGGTGTCCAAAAAAGCTGCCACTTCCAAATGGAGTAGCTGCCAGGAGATGTGGACATTAAACTTGAACAGGCTGTATTTAACTGAATTATGTTCAGTGGATTCAAGTGTGATGTTTAAAAGTATTTTGAGACTTCAGATGGTTGAATGCGTATTATATTTTGTAATACTGTCGCCTTATCAGGAAAGTCTGAACTCCCATTTTCTCTGTCTTAATTCCATCTTTCTCTCAATGGCCACATTTATGTAACAAAATAAGTGTTCAGAGAGTTTCACAAATTGTTTTTGTTTTACTTTGACTCCTTGTGACCACCTGCTAAGGTTGTAATGGTCTGTGTTCCAGAGATGCCCTATTCCTACAAGGTAGCCGCTAACCGGATGGGGCTGAATTCTGAGAGTTCTACCACTTTTCTTAATTTCCCCTACACTCCCTTCCGTGGGAGAGTTTACCATTATCTAGACATTTGATGACGTCCCTGCCTCTCTCATGACTCCTCCAATCCCTTCTCCATTCATTCTATGACTTGAGTGATTTTTCTGAAAGGCAAATATATCTCCTCATATCATTTTTTGTTCTTCTGTTCCTCAGACAGACACATCGATGTGACAGAGCCACATCGACTAGTTGCCTCCCACACAACCCAACCAGGGCCGGAGGCAAACCGCAACTGTCCGAGCCCTTGACCGGAATCGAACCCGCGACTCATTGGTCCTCTGGCCAACACTCTAACCAACATCTAACCACTGAGCCAAAGCAACCAGGGCTCTTCTTCTTCTTCTTTTTTTTTTTTTTTGCCTAAACCTTTCAATGAGTCCCCATTGCTCATTGGAAACGTCAAAAATAGTTAAAATGATTGAAACCATGTTATTCCCCTATCCATCCTGCCTCTTCCTCTCCCGCAGCCCAGCCAAGCAGAACTTTTTTTTTTTTTTTAAATCTTGCTCTCTTTTTCCTCTGAGCTTTTGCATCTGCTCTTTCCTTTGTCTGGAACACTGTTCATGCTCTTTTCACCTAGAGAAATTTTGTTTACCCTGCTGGTCAGACTACTTCTTCTGGAAAGACGTGACTCCTCTCTTCAGTCTCTACGCTCCCCCAGTCAGGGTCATTGGCATTCCTCGTGTTTTCATAGCACATTCATTTCCCAGCCACAATTGTTCCCACACTGTATTATCATTTCCTGTTTGTGGGGCTGGAATGTAAACTTCATGAAGCCACTGACCATGTATAATCTCTTAATGATGGTATCTCCACAGATACAATCTGTCTATCTGGAAATGGATATCCATATATATTCATCCATATATATATATATATATCTTTTTTTTTTTTTTTCATGAAGATTTGCTGTTTGTGTAAAAATAGGAAGCAAATGCACCCATAACTCAAGATTAATTGTTTTATTAAGAATAACAAAAACCCCTTTTCGGTGAAGCCATATAACTTTGTTCAGAGATGAATCATAGATTGAATATGGAGGAGGGCACAGCCACACACTGGACTGATTCCCTTGACTCGGGAGCTTTGAGTACTGGCTACATTTGGTAAGGCAGTACCTGGCCTCTGGGAATGGAACCCAAGTCAATCTACAGCAGGGCTACCAATTTATTTTTAGTGGCATTCCGTTCTTATTCTATTATATATTCTTTATGATTTTACAGAGGCAAAATGAAATTAAAATGAGCATGGAAGGCTGCCAAGTTGACTACTGAAAAATAAACAAGCAACATGCAATCTTAGAGACAAATTAAATTGTGAGTCTGTTTAAATATGCATAGAAATTTCAGTTGAGTAATATGACACATATTCTGTCATAGCTTGCTGGAAACACGGGCTCGTTGAATGGGCAGTTTCTCCCATTCCCTCAGTTCATGTCCATGGGGCTCCTCTGTTAGTTCCTCTGTTCAGCCTGCGCTGGGATTTCCAGCTCACGACAGCTCCAGGTTTTCGCCTCCAAAACACAATTCTGTGGTTTGGCCAGCCCACCAGGAGCAAGCTGGGATTGATGACCGATCTAAAATCCTTCAGTGTTTGTGCAAGGTGTTATTTTGGGAAATATGAGGATTTTCCTGAACAGCTGTGAAATTCTCATACTTCCCTAAATTATTTATAACATTTCTTAGACAAAAAACCACACCATTCATTTTATGTTTAACTTTTGAATTTCCAAAGGACCTGTTTTTTCAACATCCAAAATGTCAATTTCTGTAAACTGCAGTTTTAAAATTGACAAGTGAGGACTTTTAAAGGAAGATAAGTATTTCAGAACTGTAACACTGTTTTCTCTTTGAATAACTGTTATATATTTTCTCAATTTTACATAATATTGATTGTCAAATATAGTATATAAGTGGGATTAAATAGAACATGAGTTTAAAAGCTATAGAATAAATGAAATATTTCGCACAGGTAATTCTATAACTATTTGCTTTTTTTCTTTTCAAATATTTCTCTTGAGAGGATGGTCATGATGGCTATATGTAATTTAAAAGTGTTACCATTTAAATACTTATAGTGACCGATATAATTTTTTAATAAAATTTTTAAAACAAATTTTTTGTATTGCCTGGCCATTGTGGCTCAGTGGTTGAGCATCAACCCATGCACCAAGAGGTTGCCAGTTCGATTCCAGGTCAGGGCACATGCCCAGGTTGTGGACCAAATCCCCAGTGGGGGGCATGCAGGAGGCGGCCAATCAATGTTCTCTCTCATCGATATTCTCTCTCATTGATGTTTCTATCTCTCTCCCTTCCTCTCTGTCTAAAGTCAATACAGAAAAAAGGAAAGAAAAAAAAGAAAAATATTTTCTGTATCTTTTCAGTTGGAGAGCTGTTTTTCAAGGAACCGCTCCAAGCAGAAAAGGCAGAAACTGTAGCATTAACGGGTGAACCCTCCTCTACCCTCATGCTTCTTACACCCTGACCCTGGGGCCTACTGTTCTATAGGGTTGGGTTTTCTAGTTTATTTAGGTTTTGCTTGTTTACATTTTTCATGTTCAAATTCTAAAATGACTTCTTATAAAACTTGAAATGTTTTTTCAAACTACATGACTCTCATAAGTAAATGTTGGTGCTGGTCTTGTTTTTCAGAAGTGTGGGGAATAAAAAGAAAGGAAATGTACCTTAGCCCCTTAAAAAAAAGAGAGGTTTGCAAGGACTGATGTTTAAGATTTCTTCCAGATCTAACCTTCAGTGGTGCTCTCAAATAACACAGACAGCTTCCTCTTTCCCATTCTCTCGAATAAGGATCCTTAGAGACCGAAACATCTCTCTGTCTCAACACTTTCAAGGCAAGGTCTTACTCCACCCACTTACGTGGATCCTTTAGGAATTTTTTTTTTTTAACAATTTTTTTTCTTTATTGGTTTTAGAGAGAGAGGAAGGGAGAGGGAGAGAGAGATGGAAGCATCCATAAGGGAGAACATCGATGAGAGAGAACATTGATTGGCCACCTCCTGCATGTCCCCCACTGGGGATTTGGTCCACAGCCTGGGCATGTGCCCTGACCGGGAATCGAACTGGTGACCTCTTGGTGCATGGGTCGACGCTCAATCACAGAGCCACACTGGCTGGACCCTTTAGGGATTTTTTAAATTAGATGTCCTGGAAGTAAGAAAAAGAAAATTTCTAGAAAGTGTGCCTCTGTAAGTATGTATGAGCTCATTTTTGCCATGCGTATCACAAAGAAAACTTGTGTTTATGTTGAAAACTTCCAAGATCTTTAAAAAAATAGAACTTCAGAGTGTTTCTCAAAGGAACAAGAAATTTTGTTTCCTACATTGAGAATTTCAGTACAGTCTCCCAGGATGCCAGCTCTAGTTCTCCTTCTGTCAATAAGTGCTAGGTGAGAAAAAGTACATTCATTTTGCTTGTAGAACATTAAGAAATAAAATGAAAAACCTCAGAGTATCCTTTTTTGGCATATTGAGGCAAAATAGATAGTGGACTTGCTCTCTATTCCTTTCCTGTTTTCTAACTTCATAAAGCACATTGGAGGTTGTCTTCATAGATTATTGGTAATCTACTTGTGCTGGAATCCACGGGTTCACTTTTTTCCTTATGTTTACTGTGTACACTTCTTTGTAATGTGTATACTTTTTTCTTTGTATACCTCCTTTGATGGGTATATTTAGAAATAAAACAGAATACCACTTTTAATATGACACTCTTGTTCTCCCGAATACATTGCTACAGAGTTGTAGATAAATAATTAGCTTTGTATAGGTGGCATTATAAAATGTAGTCAAGGTTTCTCTTGGCTATTTTGAGAATCTTTTTTATTGCTGTCCTTAATGTCACTGCAAAGGATTATAGACTAACTATGAAGAAGGCACCTTTTTAGCAATATAAATGTACTTGAATAAAATGTGATTTTTAATCATGAACACCATTTCTCATATTAGACAGGCTGTGGTTATCACTTTAATTTTGAAAGAGTAAAACCAAGTAAGGAAAGCTGTAACTTAAGAATTCCCAAGAGTGTTTTTATGTTAGATGCTATCTAAAGAAAATCAATATTACACTAAGTGATGTTAAAGCTTTCATGTTGCAGAAAAGCACTTTACTTGTCCATTTAATTAATAGTGAATTCAATACAACAGTAAATCTCTGGAGGATCGGTTACCACAAACACTAAATGATGAACATTCTGACTTCAGATGTTTTGCTTTCCCACTTGCTTTGAAATGATAAATTTGAGCAACACATTATTAACAACATTAATATCTTTATTTAAATTCAAATGGCTCAGTATGTAGGGTGAAGTACCAATCTCTCTTTGTTTTTAATTGATTTTTATTTTTTTAGAGAGAGAGAAACGTTGATTTATTGTTTCACTTATGGGTGCATTCATTGGTTGCTTCTTGTATGTGCTCTGACTGGAGGTTGAACCCACAGCCTTGGTATCAAGATGACGCTCTAACCAGCTTAGCTACCCAGCTAGGGCTGAAGTGCCTACCTATTTTGACTCATGACATTGCTGCATGTAGAAATGTGCTAATCTAACATGACTCAAGTTGAAAGTAGATGAGTATGAAAGTGATATAGATGTATTGACTTATAAATACTAAGTAGAGGGAAAACAATTTTAAGTATTAAAATGCATATTTCAAATTTTTGGTTGATTCATATTTTTTTCCTTTAAAATGAGCCACAACAGAATAGCTGGGCCTGACGACATTAAATAATTACCTAACAGCAGCAATGAGCTCAATTTTGACTTTGTGGGACATGGAGATAAATATAAAATTCTTTTGGTCATTTATTTTACTGGCCACATTTTCTCATAATATTTTTTGCGACCTCAGAAGTGTAAGGGGTCTTCCCTTCTCAGAAAAGAATTACCCAGAGAAGAACTTGTCAGGAAAAGCCCTTCATACTCAACTAAATAAAATAGTTTGGGAGCTCAAGTGGCTTGCAGTTTATATGTATTAACTTTCAATACCTAGTGTCTGCCATGTTGGATCTTTTTACAGGACAATAGCAGCCTCTGCAGGCAATGAGGATGAACTGATGTTTTTGCTAAGAAAGGAACTGCCTTGATTTTAGTGGGTGTAGTTGGGGGAAGAAATGCTTAAAGGCATTTCAAAAAGAAACCACATTTAGGAGACCATTGACACATTTCTTTGCATCAGAATGTCAACCTTTATGACCTAACTCAGGTCTGATCTTTACTTTGAAATCTTTGGATCCCATTCTTCCAGTCTGAGTTTTTGGGTTCTTTATTGATGCATCAAAAGCCACTCTGCACATCCATTTGTGGAATAAACCATCTTGCTTAAAGTCAGGGTCCATGTCCTGCAGATTGCTAGCCAACTTGCTGCCCTGCCCCCCACCTACACCACGTGATGCATGGTTTGTAATGCGCATGGGATAACTGTACAATGACTGGATGCTTGAATGGGGAGACAGAAAATTAAATCACGGTGCCATAGGTGTCCTGGTGGAGAATTTCTCCAATTTGAGCCCCCATGGAGTTGATTCACTTTCATTCCAGTTTCTTTCTGGTATCTTACTAGATACTTCTGTTTCCCAAAATTGGCCTCTTTGAGACATTTGGAACAAGAACCATAATTCAGTTTTGGCTCATCTGTAGCACCTTCTTTTTAGATACATTCTTTTAGGCTCATGACATTCTGAAATTGTTTTGTTTTTTCACATTTTCTTCAGCAATAATCACCAGTTATTGGTAGATTACTATTTGCTTAGTGTATTTTTTTTATTGCTATCACAAATGTAAGTGCTTAAAACTATACAAGTTTGTTATCCTACAATAGAAGGCCATAACAGATCTCACTGGACTGTTATCAAGGTGCTGGTAGGTGTTTTTTTTTTTTTTTTTTAAATTTTTATTTATTTATTTATTTATTTATTTATTTATTTATTTATTTTATTTTTTTTTTTACATAGTCTCTAAGACACGGTCATTTCCTTGCTCATTCAGGTGTTGACAGAACTCAGTTCCATGTGTTACAGGGCTGAGCACCCATTGTTCTTGCTGGTCATCAGCTGGGGCTGCTCTAAGGTCCTGGAAGCCTTCTCCATCCTTGCACATAAGTCTTCTACATCTCAGAACCTGGAACAAAATATTGTTTTCTCCTCACGCCACCATCTCTTTGACCACCTGTCATTGCGCCTCTCCCTCCTTGTAACCAGGAATGGGTCTTGGTTTTGAAGGACTCAGTCACTCATATAATTAGCTGGGTCTACTGGGGTCATCCAGGACAGTCTTCCCAACTCAAGATCCATAACCATAATCCTTTCTGCAAAATCTCTTTTGCCATGGGAGGGATTGTATTAAAGGGATTTGGGGATGGAAATTTGGGGGGCGCCATTATTTTGCTTACTGCACCTGGGATGTGCTAAGTGTTTTATATGCATCATTTTATCAGAAGAAACCAAATCTTAGAAAAATTGGGTAAATTGGTTGTTACCATGAAACGCCAGTCATACATATACAGCTGCCACAAACTTCTATAAATATATATATCTTTGCTTTAGCCCATAGCTGTGTGGTTGTTTTTTGTTTGTTTGTCTGTTTTTTGTTTTTCTGCTTCTGGCATTCTTTTTATACCCCATTAATTTATTCATCTTTTCTTAAAATGTATTAATAGCCACAGATGTTTGCCTTAATTACTGTACTTGACTTTCAAGTTCTCTGTGGTTCTTGCCTACAGATGTCAGCGCAGCAAGGGAAGGAGGTGCAGGGTGAATGTTGACTCAGTCGATCTGCCCGCTACAGCTCAGACTGAGCCTTCTGTCTTTATCTTGCTTTCCAGAGTTGGCTGCCATTGTGGAAACATTATTTATTCATCACCCTTTCCTCTTTCTCGTAGAACCTTGATGCTCTGCACGACCACCTTGCTACTATCTACCCGGGCATGCGTGCACCGTCCTTTAGGTGCACCGATGCAGAGAAGGGCAAGGGTCTCATTCTGCATTACTACTCAGAGAGAGAAGGACTCCAGGACATTGTCATCGGAATCATTAAAACGGTAGCTCAACAAATACATGGCACTGAAATCGACATGAAGGTAATGATCAGTAATGGAGACACTTCTAAACAGAGATGACAGTACGCTACTAAAAATGATACTCAGCCCTGGCCGGTTTGGCTCAGCAGTTAGAGCGTGGGCCTGCGGACCAAAGAGTCGTAGGTTCCATTCCAGTCAAGGGCACGTACCTCGGTTGCAGTTTGGTCCTGGCCCTGGTCAGAGTCATGTGGGAAGCAACCAATTGATGTGTCTCTCTCACATCAAAGTCTCTCTCTTCCCTGTACCCCGCACTCCATCTGACAATGAATGGAAAAATATCCTTGGGTGAAGATTATAAAAAAAAAAAATGATACTCAGTGAATTTACCTTTAATTATTGTAGCTAGTGGACCTCACCAGAAGCATATATAAGCCATAACAGTGGCAACACCAGAAATCTTTTATCTTTGGCCTTAGAAATCAAAAATATACAGGGATACAGGCTGTTCGCTTTTTCCTTGTGGCAGCAGATTTTTCTTTTTATACATTGCTAAGGCCCCGTGAAGTTTACTTTGTGTTCTCTGTGGGCACACACTAACTGGAGAACAGGAGGGTCTGTGGCTGGTCAGCTGTGTCCTTTAGAATACAGAAAACTCCATAACGTGGATGGCAGATTCTATGATAATATAAAATTAGATACTGTTTTACTGTTCATTGATTTTTGTGGACTTTTTTTGTCTGTTCCTGAATTATCTTTGGAATATCTTATTTTGTGAACTAAAAGTTTTGCTTAAAAAAAAATAGATTAGAAGCCAGGTGTCATCCTTTACAAAGATGTTGCTATTGATAATGCAGACTGTTAGTTTTAAGTGATAATTTCAAGGTATTAATACAATTGTCCAATAAATAGAACCATCATTTTTCTCTTTTTTAATCCAGATAGTCTCTCCCAGTCACAGCTTTTTGTGTGCTCAGCATATTCAGCCCAAAGAGCCATTTTTCAGTGGCCCCAAATTTGAGAAAAGTAGAGAGAGGGATACCTTATTTCAGCCTTATTTTTTATGTATCCTACCCAATTTGGTATTGTAATTTTATTTACTTGCCAATTGATGGACAAAAAATGATATTGCATGTATTTTTAAATATGTATCTGTATTATTTCTTTCTGTACATATTCGTTTTTAACATGTTAAATAGGACTACTTGTATGGTCTGTAGGTCATTCACAATAGAAGTGCCTGGCTGAGGCAGCTAAGCCCACACTTAGTATTTGACCGAGACTGCTTTTCTTCCAAGTCTACCAGCGTCTGTATGGAACTCATACCAGATTCGCAATTTTACTGTAAATAATTATTCAGTCTTCAAATCCCATAAATAAATATCCAGACATCATTTTCTATTTTAGGCACGTGTAGTATTTGATTACATTAAAATTGTTAATTGATCCCTTTAAATATAATTCTCAAAACCAGTTTCTTAGGCACTGTATTTAGTTTTTCTTTTTTTTTTTTTTTTTTTTAATGAATTTTTATTTATTTTTTTGTTACAGATATTTTACCTTTTTACCCCATTGGCACCCCCCACCCCACCCCCTCCACCCTGTCCCCGGCTTAGTTGTCCATGTCCATTGGTCATGCATACATGCATATAAGTTCTGTGGTTTATCTCTTCCCACCCCCCCACCCCCCATCCCCTCTTCTGAGGGATGTCAGTCTGTGCCCTACTTCCATGTGTCTGGGTCTACTGCATTCCTCAGACTGTTATGTTCATTATATTCCGTATATAAGTGAGATCATGTGGTATTTGTCTTTTTCTGCTTGGCTTCTTTCACTTAGGATAATACTTTCCAGGTCCCTCCATGTCGTCTCAAAGGATAAGAGATCTTTCTTTCTTACCGCTGCATAGTACTCCATTGTGTATATGTACCACAGCTTTTTGATCCATTCGTCTACTGGTGGACACTTGGGCTGTTTCCAGATCTTAGCTATTGTAAATAGTGCTGCTATGAACATGGGGGTACATATATTCTTCCTGATTGGTGTTTCAGGCTTCTTAGGGTATATTCCCAGCAGTGGGATCACTGGGTCAAATGGAAGTTCAATTTTTAATTTTTTGAGGTAGCACCATATTGTTTTCCATAGCGGCTGCACCAGTCTGCATTCCCACCAGCAGTGTATTAGAGTTCCCTTTTCTCCACACCCTCGCCAACACTTGTTGTTTGATGATTTGTTGATGGCGGCCATTCTGACAGGTGTGAGGTGATACCTCATTGTTGTTTTAATTTGCATCTCTCGGATGATTAGTGATGTTGAGCATTTCTTCATATGTCTCTTGGCCATTTGTATGTCCTGTTTGGAGAGGTGTCTATTCAGCTCCTCTGCCCATTTTTTAATTGGGTTCTTTGTCTTCCTTTTGTGGAGTTGTGTGAGCTCTCTGTATATATTGGAAATTAACCCCTTATCTGATACATCATTGGCAATGATGTTCTCCCATACAGTGGGTTGCCTTTCCATTTTGATGATCGTTTCTTTTGCTGTGCAGAAGCTTTTTAGTTTGATGTAGTCCCATGTGTTCATTTTCTCCTTTATTTCTGTTGCCTTAGGTGATGTATCAGTGAAAATTCTGCTCCGTATGATGTCCGAAATTTTGTTGCCTACATTTTCTTCTAGAATTTTTATGGATTCACGGGTCACATTTAAGTCTTTTATCCATTTTGAGTTTATTTTTGTGTATGGTGTAAGTTGATGGTCGAGTTTCATTTTTTTGCATGTAGCTGTCCAATTTTCCCAACACCATTTATTAAAGAGGCTGTCTTTACTCCACTGTATGCTCTTGCCACCTTTGTCAAATATTAATTGAGCGTATTGCCTTGGGTCCATTTCTGGGTTTTCAGTTCTGTTCCACTGGTCTATATGCCTGTTCTTGTGCCAGTACCAGGCTGTTTTGGTTACAGTCGCTTTGTAGTATAACCTGATATCTGGTAATGTGATCCCTCCAACTTTGTTCTTCTTTTTCAAGATTGCTGTGGCTATTCGGGGTCTTTTTTGGTTCCATATGAACTTTTGAAGTATTTGTTCTAGTTCTATGAAATATGTCGTTGGTATTTTGATGGGGATTGCATTGAATCTATAGATTGCTTTGGGTAGTATTGACATTTTAATTATGTTAATTCTTCCAATCCATGAACAGGGTATGTTCTTCCACTTTTTTATATCTTCCTCTATTTCTTTTTTCAATGACCTGTAGTTTTCTGCAAATAGGTCCTTTACTTCTTTGGTTAAGTTTATTCCTAGGTATCGTAATTTTTTTGGAGCGATGGTAAATGGGATTGTTTTTTCAGTTTCTCTTTCTGTGAGTTCATCATTGGTGTACAAGAATGCCGTCGATTTCTTGACGTTAATTTTGTATCCTGCTACTTTGCCAAATTCATTTATTAAGTCTAATAGATTTTTGATGGAGTCTTTAGGGTTTTCTATGTACAATATCATGTCATCTGCAAATAATGACAGTTTCACTTCCTCCTTTCCAATTTGGATCCCTTTTATTTTTTCTTCATGTCTGATTGCTGTGGCTAAGACTTCCAGTACAATGTTAAACAAGAGTGGCGAAAGTGGACATCCCTGTCTTGTTCCTGTTCTTAATGGAAATGTTTTTAGTTTCTGTCCATTGAGTATGATGTTGGCTGTAGGTCTTTCATATATGGCCTTTATTATGTCGAGATATGATCCCTCTATTCCTACATTGCTGAGCGTTTTTATCAGAAATGGATGCTGGATTTTGTCGAATGCTTTTTCAGCATCTATTGATATGATCATGTGGTTTTTATTCTTCATTTTGTTTATGTGGTGTATCACGTTTATTGATTTGCGAATATTGTACCAGCCTTGCATCCCTGGAATGAATCCCACTTGGTCATGGTGAATAATTTTTTTGATGTATTTCTGGATCCGATTTGCTAGTATTTTGTTCAGGATTTTGGCATCTATGTTCATCAGGGATATTGGCCTGTAGTTTTCTTTCTTCGTAGTGTCTTTTTCTGGTTTTGGAATTAGAATTATGCTGGCCTCATAGAACGTGTTTGGAAGTCTTCCTTCTTCTTGAATTTTTTGAAATAGTTTGAGGAGAATGGGTGTTAGTTCTTTTTTGAATGTTCGGTAAAACTCCCCCGTGAAACCATCTGGGCCTGGGCTTTTGTTTGCTGGGAGAGTCTTGATTACCTCTTCAATTTCCTTAGTTGTTATTGGTCTGTTCAAGTTTTCTATCTCTTCCGGGAATAGTTTTGGGAGACTGTGTGTTTCTAGAAATTTGTCCATTTCGCTGAGATTGTCGAATTTGTTGCCATATAGTTGTTCATAGTAGTTGTTAACGATCTTTTGTATTTCCGTGGTGTTGGTTGTTACTTCTCCTCTTTCATTTCTGATTTTGTGTATTTGGGTTCTCTCTCTTTGTTTCTTGGTGAGTCTAGCTAAGGGTCCATCAATCTTGTTTATCTTTTCGAAAAACCAGCTCTTTGTTTCATTGATCCTTTGAATTGTTTTTTTGGTCTCTATGTCATTTATTTCTGCTCTGATCTTTACTATTTCCTTCCTTCTACTTGCTCTGGGGTTTTCTTTTTGTTTGCTTTCTAATTCTTTAAGTTGTGAGGTTAGACAGTCAATTAGAAATTTTTCTTGTTTTTTGAGGTAGGCCTGTAGTGCTATGAACTTCCCTCTCAGAACTGCTTTCGCTGCATCCCATAGATTTTGTGTTGTTGTGTGTTCATTTTCATTGGTTTCCAGGAAGTTTTTGATTTCTTCCTTGATCTCCTCGGTGACCCATTCATTGTTTAATAACATGCTATTTAGCCTCCATGTGTTGAAATGTCTTTGCATGTTCTTGTTGCAGTTGATTTCTAGTTTCATGCCATTGTGATCTGAGAAGATGCTTGATATGATTTCAATCTTCTTGAACTTGTAGAGATTTAGTTTGTGTCCTATCATGTGGTCTATCTTTGAGAATGTCCCATGTGCACTTGAGAAGAATGTGTATTCTGTAGTTTTGGGGTGTAATTCTCTGTAGATATCTATTAAATCCATTTGGTCTAGTGCTTCATTTAGAGTCTCTGTTTCCTTGCTAATTTTTTGCCTAGAGGATCTATCCAGTGCTGTCAACGGGGTGTTGAAGTCCCCAGCTATGATTGTATTGTTGTCGATTTCTCCTTGGAAGTCCTCCAGAAGATTTTTAATATATTTTGGTGCTCCTATATTGGGTGCATATATGTTTATCAAGGTTATATCTTCCTGTTGGATAGATCCTTTCAATATTATGTAGTGGCCGTCTTTGTCTCTAGTTATGGTCTTCATTTTGAAATCTATTTTATCAGATATGAGAATTGCTACCCCAGCTTTTTTTTGCTTTCCATTTGCTTGGAAAATTTTTTTCCATCCCTTCACTTTCAACCTATGTGAGTCTTTTGTTGAGAGATGGGTCTCTTGTAAACAACATATAGATGAGTCATGCTTTCTTATCCAATCAGCTACTCTGTGTCTCTTTATGGGAGCATTCAGTCCATTTACGTTTAAGGTGATTATTGATATGTACTTATTTATTGCCATTTTTGTTTAGTGTGGTTCTATTTTTGTTCCCATTTCTACTGCTAATTACAGCAGTCCTTTTAACATTTCTTGCAGTGCTGGTTTGGTGCTAATGTATTCCCTTAGCTTTTTTTTGTCTGGGAAGCTCTTTATTTGATCTTCTATTTTGAATGATAGCCTTGCTGGGTAGAGTAGTCTTGGATTCAGATTCTTGTTTTTCATGACTTTGATTACTTCATGCCATTCCCTTCTGGCCTGTAGTGTTTCTTGTGAGAAGTCAGCTGAGAGCCTTATGGGGTTCCCTTTGTAGGTAACCTGTTGCTTATCTCTTGCTGCTTTTAGGATTCTCTCTTTGTCTTTAATTTGTGGCATTTTAATTACTATGTGTCTTGGTGTGGGCCTGTTTGGGTTCTTCTTACTTGGGACTCTCTGTGCTTCTTGAACTTGAATGCCTTCTTCCTTCACCAAATTAGGGAAGTTTTCTCTCACTATTTTTTTGAATATATTCTCTATCCCTTGCTCCTTTTCTTCTTCTTCGGGGACTCCTATGATGCGAATATTATTACGTTTCCAGTTGTCCCATAGTTCTCTTAAGCTGTCTTCCTGTTTTTTAATAGTTTTTTCCTTTTGTTTTTCTGATTGGTTGATTTTTTCTACCCTGTCTTCTAATTCGCTGATCCGGTCCTCAGCTTCCCCTACTCTGCTTTTTAAACCTTCCAATGTGTTTTTCATTTCGGATATGTCATTTTTTATCTCTTCTTGTTGGTTTTTAATTTCCATTTGGCTTATTTTCAGTGTCTCTATGTCCTTACTCATGCTGTTCAGCTTCCTCAAGATCATGGCTCTGAATTCTAGCTCTGTTAACATGCCTAATTGCTCCACATTGATCTCATCTTCGGTGGAGGTGGTTTGCTCTTTCATTTGGCTTCTGTTTCTGTGTTTCACCATTTTAGCTATCACTCTGGGCTTTGGAGCCTGTCAAGTTCTCCCTGTGGGTGTTGGTGTTCTGCTGTTTGTGGCTCCCTCTCCTGTGTTTAGATGAGCGAGGGAGGACCCGCGTTGAACACCACTGTCAAGTCTTACTTTCCTGGTTAAAGTTGCCAGCCCAGGAAACGTACTGTTATCCTCTAGCTTTTTGCCTGGAAGCTAGCAGTCTAGGTTAATTGATGAGTTTTGGGTTGTCAGTTGATTGAAAAACTCCCTCTGGTGCTCAGCCAAGGGGCTTTCACGAGGGTGGGGCAGATGCTGGTCGTTAGTGAGCCTCAATTAGCACTTCAATGGCCCACAGGGTGGGGTTGGATCTCCGAGGGAGGGGCTGCTGCCTCTCTCAGAGCCCTGGGAAGAAGCAATGTGGCCACCGTCCTGAGTGGCTGCACTCAGCCAAAGCTCCGAGAGCCCTCCAAACCCCGAGTGTCCCGACACAGTTCCAGTCCAGTCTGCCCTCCCTCTGCCGGAGCCCAAGGTGAGTGGCTGTGGCTGTTTCAGCCTCTGTCCCGGCTGCGCTGCGGGGCCGCCTGGGAGTGTGACCCGAGGGCGCCGCTCCCAGCTGAGGCCGCTGCCGAGCTGCAGACCTTGGGCTCCCAGCCCCCTCTCGCGCCTTCGCAAGCCTACCGGGATGGAGTCAGTGTCCCTCGTTGTATGGTCCTCGCAAGCTGCTTTTCTGTTGGTTTTTCCCGTCGATTTGTCTGTGTTATAGTTGTAATTCCAGTTTGGTTCTGGGAGACGGTCTGTGTAGCTCCGTTCACTCCGCCGCCATTTTTCGGTCCTAGTTTTTCTTTTTTAATTAAATTGAAATGCAGACAGTTAATATTATTTCCCCCTTTAACATCCAGGTTATTCAGCAAAGAAATGAAGAATGTGATCATACTCAATTTTTAATTGAAGAAAAAGAATCTAAGGAAGAGGATTTTTATGAAGATCTTGACAGATTTGAAGAAAATGGTACCCAGGAATCACGCATCAGCCCCTATACCTTCTGCAAAGCTTTTCCTTTTCACATAATATTTGACCAGGACCTCGTGGTCACTCAGTGTGGCAATGCCATATACAGAGTGCTTCCCCAGGTAAATGACATCACACTTCCTTGGGGACTGAGACCAAAGGCAATATAGGTGTTGTCACATGTGACCATTTATTTAACCATTTTACTGTGTATTGGGTGGTGTGCAGCACATTGTATATTGCACACATTTAAACGTGAGCATAGTGTATTTAAGCATAATGCTAGCTTTCCTACAACAGGTTTTTGTTTTTTTTTAAGTAGCGCAAGCGAGAATAGTATAATTTTTTTAAATGAGAAAACGGGTAGCTTTCTCGTAACCATCAAGTTTCACTGATTCATTGGCTATTCACTGTCTGAAAATAACTTTCAGAATTGACATTTTCAGAGAAGAGAAGAGAATTAAAAAAAACTAAAGAGGAAAATAACAGATTATTATGGGACTTAATAGAAAAATCAACAAAGGACAACTGTTGGGGCGATGATGATAGTGTACATTTGATTTGCATTATTCTGACCCATTTGTAAAATCCTTCCTTTCTACTCTACCAACTTTTGGAGTTGTACATGACATATACCCAGAGAGACTTTTCTGCTTGTGATCACAGCGACTTGGTAATTGAGGCTTAGCACACGTGGGATCGGGCATAAACCTGTAAATCTGGGCTCGTGTGCTGGCTCTGCCTGTCTCTCACTGTATGGCCTGAAGGTTACAGTACTTGGCTTCTCTCTGCCTATTCCCCTTTGTTAGAACATGAGGATAGAGAAGGAAAGAAGAACATTTAGTCTGGTCCCTTGTCCATCATAAGCAATCAGTAACTGTTACCTATTTTTATTTCTAACCATTTCTTGATAAACTGTGTTTGCTGGTGGTCTTGATATTTAAATTCCATTTTAAGCCCTTGGCATTTAACACCTTATTAAAGCTAAATTTCCATACTTCTTTTAAAATACTTTTTTTTTGAATTTCTGTTAGCCTATATATGAATATTAGTTGTCTGAACCCGTATTAGGTTTTCTGTTCATGAAACAACTTGCTGTCCATTCAATCACCAAGTTGCATAGGTCAAGATATGAGTCCATAGTTGAGATATCTCTCTTACAAAATAATGTATTTCTGAACTTATATATAATTGAGCTGGTTTAACCTAATACTATCAAATAAAAAATGTTTTAAATAATTGTGTTCTTTTCTTTTTCTCTAAATTATAGCTCCAGCCTGGCAATTGTAACCTTTTGTCTGTCTTCTCTCTGGTCCGTCCTCATATTGACATTAGTTTCCATGGGATCCTTTCACACATCAATACGGTTTTCGTATTGAGAAGCAAGGTAATTAAGATGTTGTTTTATTAAATGTGAGGAAGTAAGGTATATTACATACTAGAAATGTTCTGGAGGAAAGAGCAGCTACTAGGCTATTCTAGAAGGTGGAGGTGGTTTAGTGAGATCAAAAGCAAACCTCAAAAGAAGTCTTATTTCAAAGCCAACGTTATCGATTTTTGGTTTGCCCGAGGAACAATGGGACTCTCATCTGATCAGAATTGAAAAAAGTTAATGCTGAGAAGGCCTTGCTGGGACAACCAATATCACATATAAAACCAACATCTTTTCCTTCCTGTATAGCTGCAACATAGTATTTTAGAAATCAGAAAAACTGATAAAGATTCTTTTTAAAAAACTTCACCCACTTTCTAAAAGTGTCTGTTATTCTTCGTTCCGTTTTTGTGGGGGAATCAAAAGAGTGATAAAATATCTGTTTGGTTGATAATTTAGGTAGTACCAGATCTCACAGTTTCTGTCTTTGGGACTGATAGAGCAAAGATGTCCCAGATTACACACTTCATCCTTCCCACAGCCCTTCCAAAGGGCCTGTGTGCACACACTGTATGTATTTGGAACTGTTTCCAGTTACTCTGTGAATGCATGAGTGAGATAATCAGAAACAGACAATTAACTTTTTTGCAGTTTGTTAAGGGAGAACTCCGGTGAAATGCCCTCCTTTGTTCTAACCGGTGAACGTATTTAACCTTATGGTTTGGTGGGAAATGAGGTCTGTGTGTCCTTCTTTTCGCTGAGTTGTTAGGTGGGGAGAAAGCACTAGTTAATGGTTGTATCTTGCCTTTTCAAGGAAGGATTGTTGGATGTAGAGAAATTAGAATGTGAAGATGAACTGACTGGGACCGAGATCAGCTGCTTACGGCTCAAGGGTCAGATGATCTACTTACCTGAAGCAGACAGCATACTTTTTCTGTGTTCACCAAGGTAATACTTCTTAGATTCATTAGAATGAATATGAGTACCCATCTTTAGCTAACAAAGAAATTTAATAACATTTTATTCAATCATGTCTACATATTCTGAAGCATAATTCGATTTCACAACTCTTGTAGTATCGCTCTCTATAACAAAGATGTCATTTAACATTTGTAATACACTCAGAAGAACACATGTATTCTATTTTATCTGCCATGTCTTAAGCAATTTGCTGAGTGTTTATGTCATTAGGTCATCCTATAGTTTATCTGCAGTTAGCTAATTCTATAACTTTGTACCTTCCAAAGGGGCATCATGCAGAAAAGTTATTCCAAAAGCATCTAATACAATGGCACCAATACTGGGTATAGTTGGTACCAAAAATACACTTTCATAATTATTTCTGGATTTGAATTATTTTATATTTAAAATATATAGCTACTTTACTTGGGATGCACTATTAAAACTATATTATTAAATTTGAATTTATGTTATTTGTAATAAATATCAGAGGGAAGTAAAACCATTGGTTGGCTTTTTTCCATTTTGATAAAATATTTTACTAAAAGGTGCACGGGAATTCAGAATACAAAAACAACCCAAAATTTGCTTTAGGACAATTGAGAAAAGAACTGTGGAACTTGTTAGGTGATATTTTGTGTATTTATAACTTTCTATAAACTCAAATATATGCACATTAATTAGTAATAAGCTCAAGAAAGCATGTTTCAGTGAGTTGCTAGCTAAACATTTTATTTAGTCTACCATGATTGTTTTTAATTTAAAGATACTGCCAAAATATCTGAAAATTCTAATGACCATTGTAACAACTTCTTTTAATATATTAATATAGTATTAAAGACTATGTAAGACTAATGATGGTATTTTTTCCCTGAGAATATATACCACGAAAATGAAAAATGACAAAATCAGGGAATATAAACTCTATATTCTTTATTAATAGCTTACATTGTCAATTATATATTTTTCTGCTATCAACAGTGGTTTTTTTCTTCTGCCTCTTTCCAAGTAGAGCATCAGTAGTCTGAGAGCTTCTCAGTAGGGACAGTTTCTATTCATGGCGATAAAGGTTTCTATGGAAACAGAAGCAGAAAATTTGGAGTCTATATATTAACTACCTTATGCAGAAATTGGTCTATAGTGACACATTTGCAGATTGTTATGTTACCAGTCCATGTATGTAGAAAGATTTATACTCACATTGAATTAAAAAAAAAAACAGATCAACTAAGAGCAGTCTTACTTCTAAAATAATTTCAAGATAATTAGCTGAAGTTTTGAAAAAACATGTAGATAGTTTATTAAAATAACAAATACATTTTTAAAACATACACCATTTTATTAAGTTTTCTAACTTAATCTGAGCATTGATAACCATTCATTTTTTATTTTAAGCTTATGATATATTTGTTTTCCTGCTCACGGGCAGGCCTTTGATACCATTTAGCAGATAATCTGGCCTCTTTCCACAGACATCTATTTCTGCAAGTGAGCATTACCTTACATATCCATTTCAACAAAATCTAAAGAGACCATGTGCTTCATTAGTAAACTATTTGATCATTGTACGTTTCCTTATCAGCATGCTTATTTTTGCTTTGGTTTGTGGACATTTCTGCTGAGACATTTTAGTAATCCATAATTCTTCAGTAAAATCTCAATTCAATTATGTAATTTTGGAGAAATTATTATTCTGAATGTCCAGAAATAATTATTTTGAATATAAAGAATTCAAACCGCCCTGGCTGGTTTGGCTCAGTGGTTAAAGTGTTGGATTGTGGACCAAAGAGTCGCAGGTTCAATTCCAGTCAAGGGCACGTACCTCTGTTGCAGTTCGTCCCTGGCCTTGGTCAGGGTCGTGTGGGAGGCAGCCAGTTGATGTGTGTCTCTCACATTGAATTTCTCACTCTCTCTCCCCCTCCTTTCCACTCTATCTGAAGATAAATAGAAAAATGTCCTCGGGTGAGGATTAAAAAATAAATAAATAAAAATAAAAATTATTAAAAAAAAAAAAAGAATTCAAACCAGTAATATAACCTTAAGACATTTTAACCAAAGAACATTGTGCTAAGTGAAATAAGCCAGTCAGAGAAGAGAAGTGCCGGATGATTTCACTCACATGTGGAATATAGTGAACAAACTGAACTACCAATCAAAATAGAGACAGATTCATAGACAGAGAGCAGGCAGACAGCTTTGCGGGGAGGTGGGGTGGGGTAGGGAGGGGAGGGATTGAGCAAAAAAATAAAATAGAGAGAACTCATGGACATGGGCAACAGTGTAGTGATTGTGGGGGAAGTAGAAGAGCGTATGGGGGTGATAAATGGTAATGGAAAAAATTAAATTAAATTTTAAAAAAGAAAAAAGTTGGGGAAAAAAGAATAAAAATTTACAAAGCTAATTTTCATATACCAGATCTTCATCAAATTAATAAGTATTATGTTGTTTCTCATAATAACTTAAGTTGAAAAGATGCATACAATTCACCAAGGTTATATACTGTTTCAAATACTTAGAAAATTAGTCAAAGAAAATAAGAATAGTACAAGAAATTAGAATCAGAAGTAAGAGAAACATATAAAATACATGTCAGAAAGTCATAAATACATAAAATACTTTTTAAAGATGGGTCATAAATCTGGTTGTAAATGTTTAATCCTTATATTCTAAAAGGGAAAGGCAGCCAGTTATAGGAGTCACAGAATCTATAAGGAAGAAACAAACTAATTTCTCAGAAAAAGCACAAATATTTCTGTTAAAGAGGGTAAAGATACATTTTGTTTTTCATTTCTTGATAACGAGGGAAAATGGGATAATAAATCACAGCCTTGTGTTCAATACCTGAGCAGGTTTCACAGGACAGTTTTCTACATTATCTTTCAATTTAGGTTGATAGCTTCAAAAAGTGCATTTTAGCAAAAATGCATTTTTAGTTCACTGCTCTTTGGTAGATTTTGAAATCTCTAGACGAAAGAAGTCATATTCTTTGTATGATTCTCCAGTGTCTTTTTTTTCTTCAGCCTGTGAAGCTTTAGAATGTAAGAGATGGCAGGGTTATAGTCCCTGACATAATCAGGGTTGGTATTGTCCTGTGGATGAGTTGGAATGATCTCACCTCGTTTCTCTTTGTAACAGTGTGATGAATCTGGACGATTTGACAAGGAGAGGTCTGTATCTAAGTGACATCCCTCTGCATGATGCCACACGCGATCTCGTTCTTTTGGGAGAACAATTCAGAGAGGAATACAAACTGACCCAGGAGCTGGAAATCCTGACGGACAGACTGCAGCTCACGTTAAGAGCACTGGAAGATGAAAAGAAAAAGACAGACACGTAAGCCTGTAACTTGGCATGGCTGTTGGGCATCGTATATTGTGACTCTACTATAGTGAAGATTAATAATCAGGCTAAAAAGACATGTGAACCATTGTAGTTCTAGAGTAATAGAAAAACTCTTCCGCATCACTTAAAATGAAATTATGCATACAGAAATCAGTCTTAACGGTGGTGGGGATATATCTTCTATTTTTTACACAGCAAGCTGAAAGAATAAATGCCGATGCATCTCTCTGAAAATCATTAAAATAATTCAAATGCTTAAAATCCGACTATCCATTCATTCTTTTCTTTATACAAGAAATATGTTCTGAGCATCCTCTATGTGCCAGGGGCTGGCCAAGTTCTGAGGGTTACACTGAGCACTGAACTTAGAGTTGGCCATTATATTTGAAAAGATTTATTTTCTTGGACTGAATTATTTTAGGACTTGGCTGACATGAATCTGACAGAAAGCAATGAGATCTGTAATGACAACAATTACATCAGTAAAGACAAACATTAGCAAAAAAAAAAAATCAAAGTATAAAGCTATTATTATTTTTCTATGAATGGTAGATTAAATTGTGAAATTTTGGGCAAGTAACGTGAAGGAAATAGTTCATTTTCAAGTAATGCATTTCCAGACATATCATGCATACTACTTGACCTTGCTTGCCTATATTAATTAGAGGCACTAAGTCACTGATGTTCATCAGATATTTTACCCAGGGCCTTGTCTGTTCAATTTCATTGGTTATGTCACAGAAAAGTATCTTGTTGGAGAATTGAACTCATCTGCCTTACTTCCATAAGGGCTGTTTCAATCTACGTGAGCACCCAGAATCTTGGTAACGCCACTTTCTGTACTTTTCTTGCATTGATACATGTGCATTTGCCTAGGGATGGATGCTGTGCCCACATATACACACATCAGTTAACTATTTATTGACAGCATGGATGAAATAAAGAATGCCATTTAACACTTTTCTTTATCCATAGCTTCTTAATGCATTGTCTTGGACCTTGTATAATGAAGGTGAACGCTGTGTTTAATTTTTTTGAGACCACTTAACATTCCTTACAATCCTAAACTGAACCCCTTAATCTATTGAGGTATTTTAAAATTTTATTAACTAGATAGAACAGGCAGTTTAAATTCCTTCCACTGTTTGTAAAGTAGCTCAAACTGTATGTTTTATTGGTATGCGATACAAATTTATCCATGAAAAATATCACACTTTGTGGAACTCAAAAGACAGTCCTTAGGACTAAGGTTCCAAGTCATGTGGGTTTGTAAGTTTGAGTTACAGTATCCTGCCCTGGCTGTTCTATTAGAAAACCACCTAGGTTTAGTTTTTTTTAAATAGACATTTGTTTCTCAAGGTGGTTTAATTCTAAACCCTTTCCTATTCATTGTCTTTAAAGCCAAGTAGTTCTGCTATTCCCATTTAATATTCAAATATAGCCCTGGTCAGTTTGGCTCAGCAGTTAGAGCGTCAGCCCATGGACCGAAGGGTCATGGGTTCAATTTCTGGTCAAGAACATGTACCTGGGTTGCAGGTTTAATCCATGGTCCTGGTTGGGGTGATGCAGGGGACAACCAATTGATGTGTCTCTCTCACATCAATGTTTCTCTCTCCCTCCATTCTTCCCTCCCTTCCATTCTATCTGAGAAGCAATGGAAAAATATCTTCAGGTAAGGGGGAAAAATTAATATTCACATAAAGCTTTAAAATATTTTATGAAATTTTCTCTATTTGAAAGTTAAAAATGAAAGACTGGGGAAATTCCACTAAGCTCAGAAAAATAATGAGAGCTCAGCTTCATGTTGCACAGTAAATTTAGCACATTATGCCCTCTGACCACAGAGAGGAAAAAGGGACGAGGCTTCATTTTTCCCTGTGAGCCCTCGTGCCCAGAGCCCCTATGTCTCCTGGTTTCTGCTTCTCTCCTTGTCAATCCATCCGCCATCATCATCTGTCACATTTACCACACTTGTCCCCTCAGCACGGTCCCCAAGGCCATTGCAGGAGTCTCAGTATTGACTAGAGAAACAAAATCTTTTCTTGTCTAGATCAAGGTCCGTCCACCTGTCTTACCAGTTTCTTTCACAGAAGAGTGAGGTGAGAATGAGACTGGAGAGAAATCTGCTTGTTTCAATGTTGCTTTGCAACAGTTGAGATCAGTTTCTCATTCCCAGAGATAAACAGCTTCCCACAGTGTGCTCTTCCTGCGGTGTTCTCCGTGCTACCCGTGATGACAATTTCCATACTGTGAATATCAAAACAGCAGCGTCAGATTTCAGCACTGCGAATCCTGAAAACCTGGACTTTTCTTTGTTTGATCTAGCATTTATTTGGCTTATTTTGATTTGTTTTAAATTGATTTGGCCTTCAGCAATTTTATGTAATTAAAACAAATGACTCAGCTGGTGTGGCTCAGTGGTTGAGTGTAGACCCATGAACCAAGAGGTCGCTGGTTTGATTCCCGGTCAGGGCACATGCCCAGGTTGTGGGCCTGATCCCAGTATGGGACATGGAGGAGGCGGCCAGTCGATGTTCTCTCTCACCGATGTTTCTATCTCTCTCTCACTCTCCCTTCCTCTCTCTCTAAAATCAATAAAGAAAAAAAAAATTTAAAAAACAAATGATTTATACTGTCTATGTGTCTTGTTTTGACTTATATTTATAAAGTAATGTCTGATACTAGTTTTAGAGGTTGTCCTATAAGAATCCAGGCCTTCATAGTGCAAACGATATAGATATTCTATGAACTGGCTAGTAGAAGCACCAATCTTATTCCCAGCATTGCTTACCATGGCTTTTTTTTTAATCCCCCTAAACAGGTTACTATACTCTGTCCTTCCTCCGTCCGTTGCCAATGAGCTGAGACACAAGCGTCCTGTGCCTGCCAAAAGATACGACAATGTGACCATCCTCTTCAGTGGCATTGTGGGCTTCAATGCTTTCTGTAGCAAGCACGCGTCTGGGGAAGGGGCCATGAAGATTGTCAACCTTCTCAATGACCTCTACACCAGATTTGACACACTGACTGATTCCCGGAAAAATCCGTTTGTGTATAAGGCAAGTCCGGACCCTGTGGTCACACAGTGCTGTGCAAACCCTGCCTTCCAGAGGCACTTCAGTCGGTTCTCTGGCTGTAGCCTTGATGCACAGTATGCCTCCCTGGATTCAATATCTATCATTGTCTTAAAGAATCCCCTTTTGCTATAAAATGTTGTTTTTCTTACAGCCCAAATGAATGGAGCAGATGATTTCCTAGCTAAAATGAAATGTCCAGCAGCTCGTTGCATTTACGTTAACACATCTGAGCACGCATCACATGAACATAGCTTTCGTTTTAGCGCTGTGCAAGAGATGTGCTTACTGAAATGTATAAATGCTTTGGACGGTGAAGAGGTCATGGAGCGTGAGAAGGGTGCTGGGATTTTAGATAACATCGTTTGAGGATAAACATTCACAAGCGTGTCTGCCCTTGGTTTCAATGAAAAGGGATTGTAATATTGGGAAAATGAAGTCAGTGGAATATTGCTTCATAAAGGAAAGAACGTTCACTGACCCGTCGCTGGCATCTGGAGTAATATAAGTGCCACGAGAACTATTTATTTTATAGTCATTTTCTGAGGTACAGTGTAACAGTTGGTGAGCATATCCTAAAAATAAATTGTTAATGACCGTGAGAAATCATTGAACTTCCCGTAGTGGCTCTTGTCGCATTAAGCCATCACTGTTTTGGGGGGAAATAAGGCCACACATTATTGTACTGAATTATAAGGGTATCTGAGGTGAGAAACCAGGACTTAAAGAGGAAAAATAATGCTGTGTGTACACCTGCCTGTAATCAAAGACCTCAAATACCATGTGTGTAAATTTCAAATAATTACCAAGTTTCATGTTGTTGAGTTGTTAGAATTTTTAGACCATTAAGTGGGAGGAGACTTTAAAGTTACTGATAGCCTTGGACAGATGTTTTTTTGTATAGAGGTAGCAAATGCAGCATTTGTGGTTATGCTAACCACTAAACATCCACCTAATGTAGCACATATATGTGGATGTTTAGTGGTTAGCATAACCACAAACATCCACATATATGTGCTACATTAGGTGGAGACTGTCGGTGATAAATACATGACAGTGAGTGGTTTACCTGAGCCGTGCATGCACCACGCACGATCCATTTGCCACCTGGCCTTGGACATGATGGAAATCGCTGGCCAGGTTCAAGTGGATGGTGAATCTGTTCAGGTTAGTAAATAAAATAGGCATTATAGTAACAGTAGTAGACCTCTGTGGTAGACTGTTTCATATTGTTTAAAAAAATTTTTTTTTTCTTTATTGATTTTAGAGAGAGAGGAAGAAGGAGAGAAAGAAACATCGATGAGAGAGAACATTGATTGGCCGCCTCCTGCATGCCTCCCACTGGGGATCAGGCCCACAACCTGGGCATGTGCCTTGACTGGAAATCGAACTGGTGACCTCTTGGTGCATGGGTCCATGCTCAACCACTGAGCCATACCAGCCAGGCTCAATTCATATTCTTGACCAGGCAATCGTTAAATATGTACAAGGAATGGCATCTTCTCTATAAAGACTAAAGTATTTTAAAGAATCCATTGTGTTACATTCTTTCATAGAGACGGCAAATCTCTCCACCTATCTGAGTCATGAGGATGAGATAAAACCTCCTGTCCCTTCAGTTGTTTGTTTTTTAAATCTCTTACTGTGTCTCATATAAGTCGCCAGAGTCACATCTTTGATATCTTCAGATTTTCAAAAAGGAATGTTTCTCTTGGAAGATAGATTTTGTGGGGGTTTTGATTTTGTCTGTAATACACTTGGAATTTTTCTAGGGAATTCTTATAATTTTTGTACAGTGACTCTGCCTTATACTATAATATGAAATGAGCAAACATTAGTGCGTTAGTGATTAAAGTTACTGAAGCCAAACTTTGATTTCCGCAGATAACAATAGGGATACACACTGGAGAGGTGGTCACAGGTGTCATAGGACAGAGGATGCCTCGTTACTGTCTTTTTGGAAATACCGTCAACCTCACCAGCAGAACAGAAACCACTGGAGAAAAGGGAAAAATAAATGTGTCCGAATATACATACAGGTAAGAGAACACGTCTTGGTATTTACTGATTCAGAAGGAAAATGTCTGTTTGTGTGTGATTTAAGTCTCTGGGTGACTTTGTTACCTTGAAGCGGTTATCACCCTCACTCTTAGGATTGTTTATTGTGTACTTGAGGGGATTGTGTCATTATTTCCACTTTAAACAATTGCACACCATCTCAGAAATTCCTGATATGATCATTGCTTCTAAAATCTTGAATTACCTTTAAGTACAACTTAGAGTGCATCCTTGCTGTCTCTACTGATAACTTTGGTACATGTCACTTTCTCCATTCAACCATTTCCCATAATACTCTCTCAACTCTCTGTCCCCTGTCTCTCAGATGTCTTATGACAACAGAAAATTCAGATCCACAGTTCCATTTGGAGCACAGAGGCCCAGTGTCCATGAAGGGCAAAAAAGAACCAATGCAAGTTTGGTTTCTATCCAGAAAAAATACAGGAACAGAGGTATGACTAAGCAGAGCCTAATTCTTTTTTTTTTTTTTTTTTTATGACAATTTATAAATATGGGGAGCTAAATCATAATCACTGAACATATGTTTCATGTGAAAAGAATCCTTGTTTCCAGAAATAAACTTCTAAGTAAAGCAGCAGAAATACTGCACCATTAATGAGCCAGTTAGAACAATACATATTTCTTAGCTGGTAACTTAATGATTTACTGGCTTTTGAAATTAAAACCAAAAGCACTAGAGGGAGAAGACCTGCTTTTTTGTGCTTTGTCTCTAATCTTGCTCAAACACAACTGAGGTGAGCAGGCTGTGAGGCGGGTCCCCCAGCCTTGTTCCCTCAGCTTCCTAAGCTGTTCTGAGACGACTATCAACGTTTTTTAACCATGAAGCTTTGAGTCTTCTAAGGGCCAACCTATCTCCTTGTAAAGTATTTGGGGATCTCGGGCAATCCTAGTCTCTCATGTGTTTTTGCTAGAGAGAAGAGTGATTTGTAATTTTCCAGAATCTCAGTGATTTGGTAGGGGAGCTTTGGGTTCGTGCTAGTGCTGTGGTTGTATTCCACCCAGAACCCACATGCTAGAGTGGACCTCGGAGCCCTGACTGCCTTTCGGCTTGCAAACACTAAGGTCGTGCCCCGCTTTTTCCCATTCACCGTGTGTTGCATCAGAAACAAGTTTGACACTTTGTTCTCCTATTGACATATTGGTTCTTCAGAGGGGGTGTGGCTTCTTGATTGCATTTATTTTCCTGTATGTATGCATTCCCTAAAAATGCTGTTAGAGTGTTACAAGTCCTAAAAGCAATGGAATGCCAAGTTTTAAAATATGTATCTTTGTCTGCTTTCAGCTGATTTTTCTTTAAATAATTTACTTACAGGGTTGGCATTACACTGATGTTTTCTGATGAGTTAAACTATAGCTCAAGTGTTGGTCACTGTAGTTGGGTGGCCACTTTCACCCAGCGTTAGGGTGGGAATGTCAGAAAACCTGGAGATGTGAATGCAGATCGCACTCTTACAGAAAACGGTGTGTTTCGGGGGGTATTGTGAGCTTTCTTATCACTGAGAACTAATCTCCTGTTTCTTCCGTTTTCCTAAGGAAACGAAGCAAGATGATAACTGAATCTTGGACTGTGGGGAGGAAGAAAAGACTGCAGTCGGCTTCCAGTCATTCCTTGACATACAGCGAGCCTAGGAGCAGTTATTCCCTATGGATTCAACGTTTTGTTTTGTCTTTTTCAATTATCCCCAGCCTTTCTCTTAGGTTTACCTTCCAACTGCAGCTCTGCTTTTCATTCCTTTCAAGGTTTAATACATCATCGAAAGTTCGCCTTTAGATGTGGATGACGTGCACTTCATGTGTCTTACATCCACTATAAGCATTACTAAACATGGTCATTTGTAAGTCGTAGGCACCCAAGAAATATTTGTTGAATTTCATGAAATGAAACTGAACAGTATTTGGCCTTGTGTATACAGACCATGGTTTACCAAATCTGTTTTGTGCTCCATATATATATATGTATGTATATGTATATTTTAATGACTATAACATAACAAAATTTATATCATGGTGGTGTATAGCATTACAGAAATCATTTTCTAAAGGAGTGAATTCTAAGTTTTAGGAAAAACAGAGTGATTTATTTTCGGACTCCCAAAGTAAGAATTAACATATCATGCTAATATATGACTATTTTGAAGTATGTCAATTTCCCTTCTGAAATATAGAGCACATGTTTCTGTTATTAAAACATTTGATCACACATTTAAATAATGTGGCAATTATAATTCCACTAAAATGCTGTCATTTGTATTGTATCCCTTGTATTCAATCTCATTAGCTACATGCAGCGATTATAGAAAACTGAACTGTTTCCCACTGAACTACTATATTAGCTTGGGATACATGTTAGGGACTGGAACCACTTCCAAGAATAAAGCTGGGACACTGTTAATTAGAACCCTCCCTGGCCTTTTATTCTCAGAAATGAGCTTCTTTTTAGTTTTGAAGGATGTGACTACACCTAGGACACCCTGTTCAGAAAACGGAGTTTCATTGTGACATAGAATGCGTTCCTATTGGAATAATCGGCCCGTTGTTCTGAAATGTCTCGATAATTTATTAATACCTATCTTTATAAAATAGAGTGCAACTACTTTTGTGTAAAAATGTTTGTCTTTAAATTTAGTATTTCATATCAACACATTGATATATGTATAAATGTTCCATGGTAATGTGTAAAAGAAACTACAATAAATTATTTTTTCCACTTGTCTCTTGAGAGTTTTTACTGCAACAAAAATGATATGAGTGCTCTTTTTTATTTTCTTACTGCTATTTTTTGTAAATCCAGTTTATGATTTTTACCTATTATAAACTTTAAATTAATTTAGACTCGTTGCTGTTATAAAGTTGAATGTCTCCTCTTAGGCCTATTCCCCAATGCTACTCTTCTTTAGAACTAACAGAATGACGGAAACAAGACTAGACCTGTCGAGCAGGGAGGGGAAGAACACACAGATAAATACGCAGTAACATCAACACTTGAAAGTGCTCACAATCTTTTAGGAATGAAAGACACATATAAAAATAATTTAAAATGTGATATTCATAAAGATAAAGCATAGCCAAGATAATGAAAGACTACACAGAGAATGAGAGACAAGAGGGAGGACAGGGTGGGGTGAGCACAGAAGGAGACAGGGAGGCCAGTGGCATTTTATGATGGTCTCGTTTAAAGATGAATTAATGCCACGGACAGAAGTATCTGCATCTCTTCTAGTCGCTGTGGATGAAAAAGGGGTCACATACTAAACCTGAGAAGCTCAGGGGAGGCATGGCAGGCCTTACAAACTCAAGGCTGAAGGGAACCACATAGGATGGTCTGAACACATGGATTTCTAACTAAAAGCGGGTCATGGTGGGTAGTCACATCTTAAGCCTGTAGCTTCTTTGACAACGTTCTATCTTTACATGAACCTGTCTATTGACTTTTTGCGTGTAAGATAACACACCTTTGAAATGTCAGGGCAGTCTCATTTTCCAGATCCCCAGGGCACACCCACCTCACCAGAGCAAGAGTCCACAGAACCTCTCATTGTTATCTTGTTCCCCAAATACCATCCCTATGTGCTGTAAATGTTAATATTGACTATTCTGAACCCACCAATGTAAAAGAAATATGTGTCTTTCCGTTTTACCTTTTTTCTTTATTTAATCCTCACCCGAGGACATTTTTTGTTCAGATAGAGCGGGAGGGAGAGAGAGAGAGAGAAACATCGACGTGAAGGGACACATCAAGTGGCTGCCACCAGCACGACCAACCAGGGCCGGGGACAAACTGCAACCGGGGTACATGCCCTTAGCGGGAACCGAACCCGGGTCTCTCTGTACCGCAGGCCGACGCTCCAACCGCTGAGCCAAACCAGGGCCCGTTTTACCTTTTATCTAATCCCAGAGACTTCCCTGCTTTGCTTTCCTCCCACACCCTTACTCTACTGCAATAGATTTTGTGGGACCTCCTGAGCCTCCTCCTTGGATTCTAATGCATAAAATAAGCTGCCAAACTGCCCTTCTCCGGAGCATTTTCTCAATTCCTTGGGGTTTTGCTTCCCGGCAATTGTTATTTGGCTCAAATAAATTCTTTTAAGACGTTTTCTTAGGCTGGACATTCTCTTGTCAACATAGCCCACACCCAGTGTCTCTAGTTTACCGAGTGTACTGTTTAACCCTTCCTTGTATGCAACATGGATTCTGCGCATCAAGTTTACTTTGCATGAGGTTGTCTTCCTAATTTCTAAATTTAGAGAACACGAATCCATCTGTTCCGTTGGCCCAGATGACTAGTTAATGCAGACTTTTAAAAACTTCAGCTGCTCTTTTTATTGTTTCTGTGAAATTCTTTCCCACACATTTTTTTTTTTTTTTGGTATTTGAAAACATAAAGAAAAGTTAAAGGAATTAAACAGGATACAACCAGACACCTACACTAGATTTTACAATTATTAAAGATTTCACTTTCTAGCTTTCTGTAGTCCGCCAAATTGAATGTATTCTTTTATTTTTTTCTTTATTGATTTTAGATAGAGAGGAAGGGAGAAGGAGAGAGAGATAGAAGCATTGATGAGAGAGAACATTGATTGTCGGCCTCCTGCATGCCCCTCACTGGGGATTTGGCCCACAACCTGGGCATGTGCCCTGACTGGGAATCGAACTGGCGACCTCTTGGTGCATGGGTCGATGCTCAACCATTGAGCCACACCAGCCAGGTGGATTGAATTTTTTTTAGATACAATTCACATACTATAAAATTCACTTTTTTAAAGTGTCCAATTAAATGACTTTAGTATATCCACAAGGTTGTACACCCACCTAATATTCTCATTAGCTCATAATGACATCCTGTAAACATTAGCAGTCACTCGGCCCCTGAAACCCATTAATCTCCCTTTTGCCCCTAAGAACTTGCCTATTCTGAACATTTTATATTGTGATATTATAATTTATAGTAAGAAATTACAAAATCCCTGGCCTTCCTTTCTGTCCCGGTTTCCGGCACAATTTTCCAAAATGACAAAGGTTCCTTTTGCTATGTTAATGATGACCTTTGGAGTACACCTAAGGAAGGGGTTTGGTCTCCAGTGGGGCCATCCTTGTGTTTAGAGGGTTAGAATTTTCAGGCCCCCTATCCCCACCTCCAACCTCCAGGGAAGGGAGAGAAGTTGGAGGTTTAAACCATTACCAAGGACCAATGATCGAATCGATCATATCTATGCTATGATACATTAATAAAATTCTTGAGAGACCAAGTTGGAGAGCTTCCAGGTCAGTGTGGAAGTGAAGATGCAGAATGGCGCTGGGAGACAGCACGGATGCTGCACCCTTTGCTCCCACCTCGCCCCAGGCCTCCCTTCCATCTGGCTGCTTCTGAGTTACATTCTTTTTTTTAGAACCCTCACCAGAGGACATTTTTCCATTTATCTTCAGATGGGGGAGTGGGGGTGGAAAGGGAGAGAGAAAGACATCGACTTGAGAGGGACACATTGACAGGTTGCCTCCTGCACGACTCCAACCAGGGTGAACCGTGCAACCGGGTGTCTGTCCTTGGAGGAATCAAACCTGCCGCTCGTTGGTCCTCGGGCTGACACTCTCACCGCTGAGCCAAGCCAGCCAGGTCGGAGTTATATCCTTCTAAGTAAGGGAAACACTTCTCTGGGTCTGTGTGCCACTCTAGCACATTGCTCAAACCCAGATCCGGTTGGTGAGACTCTTGGATCTGTAACTGGCGGGTCATAAGCACAGGTGATGACCTGGATTTGTAATTGGCCCCTGGAATGCGACAATCTTGTAGGTCCGCGCTCTCAACCTGTGAACTCTGATACTATCTCCTAGAACAGCGATTTTCAGCCCGTGTACCAAAGCACTTCTAAAACATGCAGCACCTGACTCTTTACATTGACCTCTTTTCCCTCAGACTATCAAATAAAAAAGTGACAACAGTCAACATGACATTAGTCGTCCAGTATAATAAATCAAAATTATACCTAGTACTTCTTTGTCAGATTGGCAAAAATACCTATTTTTCGGTGTGCTGCAGAATTGTAGGTATTCGTGTGTGTGCCATGAGATGGAAAAGGTTGAACCACTGGCCTAGAAGATAGTGTCAGAACTGAGATGAATTGTAGGAAACCCAGCTGGTGTCCTGGGAATTGTGAATGTGTGTGTGTGTTGGGGGGGGGCAATATTGTAAGTGGGTGCAAAATTCTTAAAAAGGAAAAATATTACTTGTCTGCTTATCCGTATGTGCTTCTCGTCTTGCCGCCCTCATTGATGGCTCTTAGACCTCTGGAGGGCAGCAGAGAACGCTGTTTAGAGTGCAAATCTGGAAAGAACTGAAGGACACAGGGTGTCATGCATTTCAACATCTTGCCTCTCAATTGACGGTCAATGTTGTGTGCAACCTTGAATTCATCTCTTCTACCAGCCTCTAGGTTCCAAGGAATGTCATAGAAATAATGATTTCTACCCCATTATGATCATTTGTGTAACATGAAATTCATCCATGCATGCATACTTAGTTAAGAATTTCACCCAAATATTTCCTGTAAAATCTTAGAAAGCCATCCACTTTGTAAGAGAAGCTCTTTGTACAGAATTATTGCAGGCAAACTAAGTTGCATCTAGTTCGTGATAAAAGCTATAAAATACAAATAAGAAAACAGTGTTTATTTTTAAGGAGAAAATTGGAGAACCCCTTATTATGCATTAATTTTTTTTTTTTTCTTACTACTGCTAACATATCAGAGAGAGGAAACAGTTTAGGGTGGATTAAAAAACCAAACCCAAACAAAAACCACTGGGCAGGGAGTCAGGACCTGAGTCCATTTCTGACAAGGCCAGTCCTGCAGTCCTGACAAGTCATGTACCTTCTTAGGGTTCAGTTTCTTGATCTGTATTAAAGGAGCTGCACGAGGTTATCTACAGTTAATCTTCACTCCCAAATCCCATCTTTTTTTTTTTTTTTTGGTAAAAATTCCAGTGCAGTGATGCTATGACTTTGGCCTGGTCTCTTTGGAAACAGTTAGAAAGACAAACTAAACCCTTAACAGAACTCTTTTTAATAGTCCAGGAACACTAAGTAGATCAAGCGAGGTATGTTGAAACTAACTTCTAAGAAATAAACAAATCTGGGGCGAGTACCTGGTAAAGACTTCTGACTCCAAGCTAAAATCAGAATGACTAAACCAGGTTAGTGTATGAGAGTGTTAATGTATGTGTTTCTGTTAAAAATTGGCCCTGTAATATTAATTTAATTATGCTTCCTAAGTTTAAATTCCTTAATAAAGAGTTGTGTTTTTTATTCTCTTAAAATAAAGGGAGAAAGTGTACCTCTATTTCAAGAAATCATCCTTTGGAATAGAAAATAACCTCTTAAAAATAAGGAAGTGTCATATAGATAATTTTTGAATTATTGAAGTATAGAACAGGATATTAAATAATGGGGTGGTTGTAATTCTTTGATGCATTAGGATAACTATGATTTCCTCCAAAGCGCAATGTTTTTTAAAGTCTACTTAGAAAACTGCAAAGAAGGTATATCCATCAGCATGGTTAAATAGAAATATGATGTCAGACATAAATGCGAGTCACAGCTGAGGTAAAATTTTAAGTTTTAAAATATCTAGTAGCCACACTTTAAAAAATAGAAACAGGTGAAGTTTATTTTAATAATATATTTTATTTAACCGAATGTATCTAAAACACTGTCATTTCA